AACATGTGCATACACCGGGATTCGAACCCGAGACCGCTCTGATACCATGTCAAAATCCCAACCACTAGACCATTGGGATAAAAGGGCTTGTTTCAGTAGCGGGTCAGTGCGCCCATAACCCCCCAGGCAAACGCGCCTGTAACCCCCCCTAGGATCGATCGGGGATCTCACAGTGTAGCTCTACTGACAGCTGTACTATCGGCTGTGCCCCCGATTCTAACTCTATCCTGTGGTCGTACGGTCGCTGAGGTGGTAGTCCCGTCGGCAGGTCGTCCAGAAATATCCCACTGTACCGCTTCAGGAGTGCTGCCAAATCATCCGGTGCATTGGCTAGCACTTTTTGTAAGTCCCCCCCTTTGTCTGCTGCCTCGGCTTCCCGAATGTCAACACCTGCCGCTACGGCGCGTTTCATCGTGATCGCGTTGACACGCACCGACGAAGACTCAGGCGAGCCCCAGCGAGATAAGGCGATGTTATCACCGTTCACTTGCACGGTGCAGTCACCCGTCGTCCAGTCGATTCGCGCGTTGTGTCGTCGCAGCCAATCACGACCGAGTAAAATGTCGGTTCCCTCGAGGGTTGTCGCGAGCATTTCCTGGCTAAACGTGAAATTACCCCCGCATCGAATCCGAACCCGGTCTACGCGTTCCCGTATCGCCAGTGGCATGCCGTCAACCAGTCTTGCGTCGATCTCAGATAAACATATGTCCAGTGGCAGTCTCAGTTTCCGTGCTGTGGCGGTGTTGGTCAGGCTGTGGCTGGCTCCCCTGTCGACAAATATTTTAACCAAGTCTCTCCCGATTTTCCCACTAAGCAGTATGGGGCTGTCTACCGTAGTACCCTCCTTATTCGGCCGGGTATGGTCGATTGCGTGAATTGGCACAATCACTCGGTGAGGGTCGGTTGGGTCGGGCGAGCGGCGTGACCTATCAGTAGAGGGCCCGTCTGCTACTGACTCCCAGCGTTTCCCTGCTGTTTGATCTGTTTCTGCTGCTCAGCTTCCCCCTTTCCCTTAGCGTTTTCCGGGCATTCGCTCTTACAGTGTCCCGACCAATTGCACGCGAAGCAGCGCCCTTTGAACGATGCGACAGCAGCATTCGCGGCGACGGCACGTATCGTGGCGCCCTCGTTCGTCCCACGAGACCGATGTCCCCAGTTGCTGCTTCCGTAGGACCCCGGTCTCGGTCGGCGAAAGAAGACAAGTTTCTCCGCCATGGCGAGAATCTCCTGAATATCACTGACGCCGCGGAGCTGGATTTCATGGGCGATGGCGTGCTTCAGGCCGCCGATGTAGCTGTTGTTACGCTCGCCCTCTTACATATATCCTACTTGCTCGCATAGCGCCAGAAACCCGCTAGTGTAGTCTTGGACGGAACCGAGTTGGCGCCAAGTGCGGAGCTTCTGACACACCGCGATCAAAGCCGCAATTGGCTCAAATCGAGCGCGCAGACCTGCGCACCACGCGTCCCACGTGCGATATTGGGGCACCTCCACGAAATACGACGGCGCCCAGGGTCCGGTTTGTCCTTCCCGTGTTGGTAGAGTCGCGTAGTCATTCGGCTTCGTGACGATGACGCGCCACCAATCCATGGCGGGTCCTCGCAGCAGCAACACGGCGTAACGAATCTTCGCCGTATCCTCCGAGACGTAGCTGGCGTCGAAGAAAACGTTCATCTTGAACAACCACGCCTGAACGGTAGGACCACCCCGTTGACTCGGGTCAAAGCATGGCGGACGCTGCGGCTTCAGCGGCATCGGTGACGGCAGTGCCGAATCGTTGATTGGTGCCGAGATCGTGACGCGAGGCTGGTTCCTAGCCGCATTCGTCGTTTCGGGGTGTGTCGTGCCGTGGTCGTCGTCTCCATCGTGGCGGACGACGCCATCACTAGCCGCGCTCGTCGGTTGCCCCACACTTCTGTGCTGTGATGCTTGTGGTGCGGGCTGTACCGGAGTGCCAGGTGCTTCTGATTGCGCTTGTTGTGCTCGTGCGACGTCATTCTGCAGGGAGGTGCATTCCGCCGTCAGCGCCGCGATTTCTTCAAAATTTTCGTGCAGTTGTAGCAGCAGCTCATTCAAGCGGTCATGCGTGAGTGCCGTGATGTCGATATGTTCGGCCATTACAAAGGGCGTCGGCTCAGCTTAGTCTAGGCGCAATCGTGGCTGCACGCGTTTAAGTAAGAACGCGAGGACAGCGGCTCCTAGGGGCTAAGGTGTGTGAGTCCCTTCGAGTGAAAAATCAAGAGTTGATTTCCTGGGGTGCGGAGATGCGCGGTCTGAAAGAAAGTAGCTCTAAATACCAAGTGTTACGGGTGCAATGAATCGAGGTAGCGAGGATTGCACTAGAGTGTCAAACGAGTACAAAATATGAGCGAAGGCGTGAGCGAACATTTATACGCATAACATGCAAACGGTAACACGGTGCGTGCGAGCTAGCTAGTGCTAGGCTGGCATCGAGGCTCGGGCTAGTCCCGAAGCGTAGGCCGACACGGCCGGGCCAGCGGTGCATGGTTTGGTGAAACAGTGCGCGCGAAGTTGGCGAAGCCTCGTTAGCAGTAACGGGCGAACAACGGCTGCTGTTGTACGCGATGTTGTAGGTCGCGGTAAGGAATGTCGAGAAAATTCCTTACACCTGGCTTCCAAACACCTGTTACGAGTGATCCAGTATAAGTTCCCGCCCCAATGCGCTCCGTTTTTCCCTATGAGGAGCTTTTTCATTTTACGCCTACGTGCAGCACCTCATATATTGACCTCTTCGGGCAATGCACAAGGTAAAATAACGAGCCTGATAAACACAATGTAGAGTGAATCGGGTCCGCAACCCATCCGAATTCATGTTCTGATCACATCTTTGATGTAAGGTCACTAGCGAAAACTTTTCATTTAAAATAAATCATGCATGCGAAACATATGTGCTCGTTTAGACCATGTTAGTCGTTGCATTATCAAATCCATGTGCCACGTTGTTGAACAGGGGAATGTGTACTCAATGGCAAGTTTGGGTACAAATACCTCACCAAGCAAGGCTGGCCACAAATGTCGCCTGCCTAGTCTAACAAGTGTAATAGAAGAACAAAAATACACTTTCACCCACCCCCTAGGCTAGGTAAGGTGCGGACCGTGCATGGCAAGCGAGAAGCAAGCCAGGGCGGCATTATTGGTTCAGCCTCTTAGACAAGTGGTCTCAAGACCAGTCAGCATGAAACAACAAGTATGTGACAAATGACTACAAGGCAAGTCCATGAGCTTATAGGCGAGTCAATGACTGTAGGTAGCATCGCATATAGGACAAGATAAGGACCAGCAGGGACAAGGCCAAGCTAAGTTCAGAACGGATGCTGATTACGAGGCTGGAGTGCCTTGATGAAGATATCAGTGGTGTTGGTGTATGGGGTAAAGAAAACCAAGTGTATCTGGTCGCGTTGCTACAGCTTACACTGTATAAGGTACTGCAGTTGGATATGCTTCAATATGCCCTTCAATCTAGGCTCCGCACGCAAGAGGATCATGGCCTTGTTGTCAGCGAACAAGACCGTGACAGAGCAAGAATGTCAGCCAGCAAAGCTCTTGAGCAACCATCACACCAGTGTAGATTTTTGCCTCAGCGCTGGACGAAGCAACCAATGACCTCCACGAGACAGCTCATGCGCCGAGACGGAATCAGTAGCCTTGGAAAGACTTTAGAGTCTCGACGTCGTCTGCCCACGATGCGTCAGTGTGTCCACTGGGCTCAGCCAACTCATCAAGAACAGGAGCCGAGAGCGCGTGGCCAACAACTAGCGTAGTGAGCTGTGAGGATGGGAACTGAATGCTGAAGCGCTGACGGATCTACTGCACCATTTGTGACTGAGTCAGAGTGATGGTGCGCATTGCTCTGTCCCTGGTGATATGCAAGCCAAAATAGCGGCACAGCTCACCAAGCAAGGTCAGTGCAAGTGTGTCTCGTCTGCAGCTCAGCCTTCACCGAAGCTTGCGTAACCATGTCTGCAGTAGCACAGACCAAGTCGACGATGTAAACAAGAATAAAGAACGACGTCTCGCTGTGCGAACGAAGAGAGAATCAATAGTATAGACATGAAGACGCCGAGAGCAGCAAGTGTAGTGCGCAACATGCCGTGCCATTCACGGGGAGCCTTGCGCCGACCGTAGACTGGCCGTCGAAGGCTCTACTGGGTCATAGGAGGGAAAGAGCGAATGAAGCCAGGAGAACGGCAAGGCCAAATCTGCTTATGCAGGCTGCCCTGCGAAAGGTACTGCGACGTCCAGAGGTGGCGGGGGTGGATAACGGGCGGCATCTGCATTAGTGCCCCTACCACTTCCCCACTTTGTCAGCAGCACCAGCAGCATCTGCAGCGCATACCGTCGCCCCTGCTGCCACTAATCCTTGTTGTCCCATCCAAACGTGCCCCCCCATTCCCCCTCCCCCCCCTCGCACCACCCATGCTCGCACCACTCACACTCGCGCCAACGCTAGCCGAGCGTGCGCCTGCTACCGTGTTTGCGTGCACTGGTGGCAGTAGCGGACACTTGGGGGGGAAGTAGCGGGAGTGGCGGTGGAGTTGGCGGTCATTGGGGAGGAGGCAGCAGGAGTGGCGATGGAGTTTGCGAACAGTGGGGGGGCAGCTGCGAGAATGGCGGCAATGTCGCTGCAGCACTTGCACATGCTGCGCCCGTCGATGCCGCGCCCAATCCTGCTGCAGTGGGGGGAGATGACAAGGATAACGAGGGTACGCCACTACTGACGATGCTGCCATATGCTTCCCCCCCCACCTCTCCACACCTTTCCGTCATCTCTCTCACTGCGGCACGTGCTGTTGCGAGGGGGGAAGGTGAAGGGGTGGCGGGAGTGACCATGCAGCACCATCCGCCGCCGCACCTCCTCCTTTCTCTCCCTGCTGCGCTTGTTGCTCTCAGGAGGGGGGGGGGGGGGGGGTGAGGGGGTTGTTAGAGTGGATCCGCAGCACCAACCTCCCCCTCCTCCTCCTCTCTCCTCTCATGTCCAGCCGCCTCCTCCTCCTCCACCTCTCTCCCCTCCTATCCATCTGCCTCCTCCTCTCTCCTCTCCTGTCCCTTCCATTGCGTCCGCTCTTCCAACTCACTTCCTCCTCTCGTGCCCTCTCCTATTCCGTTCTTCTGTGCACCACTACCCTCCGACCGCCTCCGCCTTTCGCTCCGCCTCGACTGCCTCCGCCCCTCCGCTTAGTTGTAATTGCTTACAAAACTCTTCGCCAAGTGTTGTTTGACAGGACCCGCCGTGGCAGTGATCGCCTATCGAGTTCTACATAACCGCTTAATAATTGATGTTTGTCACATGATTAATAAGGCATAGCTAGCGGTAGAAAGTGTCAGAACTATATTGTAGGCTGTAGTGGGGCACTCCTTATGGGGTACAGTATTGTTAGGTTTTGCCTACACAAACCTTGTACTGCCCTGTTTCTAGTCATTCTCGTTTCATACCTTGTGACATGGTTTCAGAGCAAGTTCCCTAGTGGAAACGTTTTTTTTAGGGCCCACCGTGTTATATTTTTTTTTACTGCCCTGCACGAAGCGCGCGTCGCTCCTGCCTTGCCCTAGTGCAGCCCTTAGCGGCCCTGCCCTTTGCGGCCCGTCGCGCCCTTCCCCTACGGCCCGTCGAGGCCCAATCTCGCCGCCCTTAGCGGCCCGCCCTGCAGTCGCCGCCCTTAGCGGCCCGCCCTGCCGTCGCCGCCCTTAGCGACCTGCTCGCCCCGTCGTCGCGGCCCTACCTACCCTGCCGCCCGTTGCGGCCCTGCTTTGCCGGCCGTCGCGGCCCTGCCCTGCTGCCCTTCGTCGCGGCCCTGCCCCACCGCCCTACGTCGCGGCCCCTGACCTGCAGCCGCCGTCGCGGCCCCTGACCTACCGCCCCACGCCGCGGCCCCTTACCCTGCAGCAGCCGCCGAGGCCCCGTGGCCTGCAGCAGTCGTCGCCCCTGCTACCGACGTAGCGGCCCTGCTGCCGCCGTCGAGCCTGCAGCCGCCGGTGCGACCGCCGCCGTCGTCGCCGCTGAGGCCCCGCCGTCGCGGCCCTGCCCTGCCGCCCTGACGCGGCCCTGACCTGCCGCCGAGTCGCGGCCCTGCCCTGCCGCCTTGTCGCGGCCCTCCTTGTCGCGACCCCTACCCTGCCGACGCGCCACAGCCCTGCCCCACCAGTCGCGGCCTCTACCCTCCCCTCCCGCCATTGGTAAGCGCACCGCCGCACCCGTGCCGTCCTGTCGAGCCGCGCTGCCCTGCCAAGCCGCGCCGCCCTGCCGAGCCGCGCCGCCCTGCCGAGTCGCGCCGCCCTGCCGAGTCGCGCTGCTACTGCTGCCGCTGCTGCTAGGCTAGTGTTGCTGCTACTGCTGTCATGGCTAGCCCTAATGTCCTTACCTTCGATGCTGAGGGTCGAGCAGTCGATTTCAAGGTCTGGGTCAATGATCTGCAGCTTTTCCTGCAGTGTGACTCTAGGGACGGAGTCTCACTGTTCGATCACACGTCCGGCGTCTCTGTTGCACCTGCTGCCGATGCTGACAGTGCACTCCGCTCGCAGTGGACCATGCGCGATGCTGCTGCTCGTCTTGCTGTTCGTAGTCACCTGCCGTCTACTGAGCGCGCGCACTTTAGCCAGTACAAGACTACTAAGACTCTGTACGACGCTGTTGTTGCGCGCTACTCCTCCCTTGCCACTGCTGCCCTTAGCCGCCTCATGCTGCCGTACCTGTTCCCTGACCTAGCCGCTTTTGCCACTGTCGCTGACCTCATTACGCACCTCAGCACTAGTGACACCCGCTACCGCGCTGCGCTTCCTCCCGAGTTCTGCGCCAAGAACCCCCCCCCCCTATGTACATCACTCTCTACTACCTCGTCACCCGGCTCCCTGACTCCCTTCGCTCGGTCAGGGACCACTTCCTCTCCCTTTGCCCCACCATGCTCACCGTTGACCTTCCGAGGAGCGCCTCCTTGCAGCTGAGAAGAGTATAGTCGCTGCAGGAGCCTCTCGTGGTGACCCTCGTGCCCCTTTCATTGAGGGGTGCTCCCCCGTCCCCCTTTTGCCCTCTGTTGCCTTTGCTGCTGCTGTCGACCTCGTTGGCACCGAGTCGGTCGGCGCTGCGTCTGCTCCTGGTGGGAGGCGCCGCAACGGTAGGAGCAAGGGGGGCAAGGGTGCTGGAGGAGACGGCGGGGGCGGCGGTGGTGGTGGTGGAGGCGGCGGAGGGGGTGGGGGTGGAGGTGGGGGTGGTGGCGGGAGTGGGGGCTTCGGCGGCGGCGGTGGAGGTGGAGGCGGCGGCGGCAGCGGCAGTGGGGGTGGCGGAGGCGGCAGCGGCGGTGGGGGTGGTGGTGGTGGTGGTGCTGGTCGGGGTGGCGCTGTGCAGCGGGGAGGTCCTGGTGGTGGCCAGCGCCAGCAGCAGCAGCGTTCTCGTGAAACCCTGTCGCCCCAGCAGCTTCGTGAGTGGTACGCTGGGCGTGGGAGGTCTGGAGGTGCTGGTCCTTGTGCTTACGTTCTCGGCACCGGCGAGCGCAGTGGGGAGACGTGCGGAGGACCGCACGCCACGCACCGCTGTTTCGGCCGCCTGACGGACGCCTGGCGTGCACAGTTTCCAGACGCCACTGAGCTCCCTCGCTGGGGTAATCTGCTTAGGTCGGGTGTTCCTATCTTTGATCTTGATTATGATGCTATCCTTGCTGCTATGTATGCTGTGACTATTAGTGCTGAGGCTGACTGTTACTTGTGTGTTCCGCCCGACCCAGGCATTGAGGCTGCTGCTCTAGGTGCTGGTGAGTTTGCTGCTCCAGGTGTTGGTGAGTCCGCTCTCTCGGTTACCGCGTCGGCTCAGGCCTTGCACACGTTCACCCTTGACTCGGGTGCTTCCCGCTCCTTCTTTCGCGACTGCACCACACTCTCGCCGCTCAGTCGGCCAGTGGCATTCTCCCTGGCTGACCTCTCTGGGGGTCCGGTCCTTGCACACTCCTCCACGGTTCTGCCGTGTCTGGCGGTCCTATCTGGCTCTCTGTCTGGCCTCCACCTCCCCTCGTTCTCCACGAACTTGGTGCGCGGAGCTGACCTTCAGGACGCCTGGGTTGACCAGTTCACTCCTAAAGGTCAGCGGATGACCCACTGTTCGTGCACTCGGACGCGCCGGCACCTGGCCACGTTCTCCCGTCAGCCTGGGTCGAGCTTGTACACCCTGACTACCGGGTCTCCTCCCGTTACTGCGTCTGGTCAGGTAGTTGCGTCTGGTCAGGTAGCTGCGTCTGGTCCTGAGTCTGCCCCCTGCTCGTGCCGCCTCCTGTCTCACCAGACTCTTCTCTGGCACCACCGCCTTGGTCACCCCTCCCTGCCTCGTCTCCGAGGCATGGCCTCCCGTGTCCTTGTCACTGGCCTTCCCTGGTCTCTCCCTCCCCTTCCCCCAGGGCCTGCCCCTACCTGTGTTCCTTGCATCGAGGGGCGGCAGCGCGCTGCTCCTCACTCCTCCGAGTTTCCTCCGACGGAGGCTCCCCTGCAGACCCTTCACATGGACGTATGGGGCCCAGCCCGCGTCCGTGGATAGGGTCACGAGCGCTACTTTCTGCTGGTCGTTGACGACTACTCACATTACACCACAGTCTTCCCCTTGCGCCGCAAGGGTGAGGTCACTGAGGTGCTGATCGACTGGATCCGCGCTGCTCGTCGTCAGCTCAGCGAGAGTTTCGGGTCGGACCTTCCTGTTCTACGTCTGCACTCCGACAGAGGTGGAGAGTTCTCCTCCGACCTTCTGCGCCTTCTGTCATGCGGAGGGCATCCACCAGACGTTCACGCTTCCGGCCTCTCCACAGCAAAATGGGATTGCTGAGCGCCGCATTGGCATGGTCATGGACGTCGCTCGTACGTCCATGATCCATGCGGCTGCTCCCCATTTTCTGTGGCCGTTCGCGGTTCAGTACGCTGCGCATCAGCTCAACCTCTAGCCCCGGGTCTCCATGCCGGAGACCACACCTACGCTGCGGTGGACGGGGAAGGTTGGCGATGCGTCTGCGTTCCGTGTCTTGGGATCTCGAGCTTTTGTCCGCGACTTGTCTGCGCACAAGCTGTCCTCCCGTGCTGTTCCCCGCGTCTTCCTTGGCTTCTCCCATGACGCGCCTGGTTGGTAGTTTTACCACCCCACCTCGCGCCGTGTTCTGTCCTCTGAGGACGTCACGTTTGACGAGTCGGTTCCTTACTACCGTCTCTTCCCCTACCGCACTGCCCCCCTTCCCCCCCCCGCCGCTCTTCCTCGCGCCAGGTCCTCCTCCGGTAGACCCCCTCCCCCCTCAGGGTCCTGCCCCCTCAGGTGTGTCCTAGGTAGACGCAGTCGAGCCTGTCGAGGTAGCTGTTGACTCTGGTGCGGCTAGGGGTGCTGAGCCTGCGGGTGCCGGGTCTGGGGGTGCTGAGCTTGAGCGTGCGGAGCCTGGGGGTGCTGAGTCTGGGGGTGCTGAGTCTGTGGGTGCTGAGCTCGGGGGTACTGAGCCTGGGGGTGCTGAGCCTGGGGTTGCTAAGTCTGGGGGTGCGGAGCCTGAGGGTGCTGAGCCTGCGCGTGTGGAGTCTGGAGGTGCTGACCCTGGAGGTCCTTCGGGTGCTTCGTCCCGGCGGGAGCCACTCTCTCAACAGCAGCTGTGCGAGTGGTTTGCTCGGCGCTAGAGCCGTGCTGCTGGAGCTGGTGGTGCTGTGGGCGCTGGAGGTCTTGCTGCTGATGGAGCTGCTGGGGGTCCTGGAGCCACTGGTCCCGGAGGTGCTCGTCCTGGAGGTTCTGGAGCTCCTGCGCCTGGTGGTGCTACTGGAGCTGGAGCTGCTGGAGGTGGTGGAGCTGGCGGTGCTGCTGGAGCGGGTGCTACTGGGGGTACTGGAGCTGGCGCTAATGGAGCTGCTGGGGCTTCTGTTGGTCCTGCTGGAGCTGGAGCTGCTGGAGGTGCTGGAGCTGGAGGTGCTACTGGAGCCGGTGCTCCTTGGGGTGCTGGAGTTGGCACTACTGGAGCTGCTGGAGGTGCTGCTGGAGCTGGTGATACTGCTGGAGTTGGCGCTGACGCTGAGGGAGCTGGTGCTGTCCCTGCTGGTTCTGGAGGCGCTGCGCGGCCGCGGCCATACTTCGTTCCACTCCTTGAGCAGGTTCTTGGTCTCCCGCCTTCTACTGGTCCTGCTCCTTCCTTAGAGTCTCTCCTGCCTGTCACAGTTACAGCTACAGCCCGCCTCCCCACTGCC